CTTCCTTCCCCTTCTGAAATCCTGTACTCAGCCCAAGGATCAGTGTGGGCTTGGCTGGCGGGATTCCACCTAATGGCAGTCCCTAATCTCCCTGCTTGCTAATTAATCGCTTCTCTGTGGCGCCACGCCTTCTGTAGCTGCGGGGCAGGCCGCGCGAATCAGTTGGCCCGGATCTCCGGGGTCCTGCTGCTCGAGACCCTGTTTTAAAATAAAAAATAGAAAGGACTGAGGATATAGCTCAGTGTTAAAGTGCCCCTGGATTCAATGAGCAAAAAGATAAAGTCTTGTCATTGCACTGGGGGTTGAAAGCACACTGCAAAGAGTATGGCCAGCTTACTTTCAGGGTCGTGAGGCCTGCAGCAACACAAGGCCCTGAGCACTGTGTGGAGTGGCCAGGGTAGCAAAGAAAGAGGGTATCATGGGAAAAGAGTAGGCAATGCAGCTCATAGCACCCAGGTACATGCAGAGGAGAAGCCAAGAGAGTTAAGTGTTAAGCATGCAAGAGGGCTATTTCAGCTACTTCCAGTTTCAGAGGCTGTGTCTAGTCCAGAAAGGGTAATCTGAAAACTGTCTGCTGGCTTTGKCCATTGTTGAGAGCATCATCATGATAGCAAAGGCTAGGGCTAGGGCTAGGGCTGGGCTGACAGGAGCCAGGAAGTGAAGGGTTGTAGCTTTTGAGCATGGTCAACTCTTTCATGGAATAAGGCACAGAGGGTACAACAGGTGGAGTAGAGGCTTGGAACACTGAGGGCGGGACTTGGCTTTTAAGATGAGGAACAAAAATGTGTACATGACCATGGGAAGAAATGGTAGTATGTCTTTACCAAAGACATACCCATGGCCGAATGGTAGTAACAGCACATAGGGCACTTTCTGGTACCAGCCACTGTTCTATGTATCTTTTGTGAATTAACCCACATTTCCCTCTTCTACCAGTAGGAAAACTCAAGGCCCAGGAGGTTAAGTAGCATAGCCCAGGTCTCCTTGCTTGTGTGTTGCAGAGCTGTGATTTGGACTTATGTAGTCTGGCTCTAGAGTCCTTGCTACCAACCACCAAGCAAGTGGCTCCAGGAGAAGTTGCAATGTAAGAACGGAGTACGGAGGGAATGACAAGTAATAAAGGAGCCCTGTCTGGTGAATCCCAAAGGGCAGACCACATTTAGGTCCCCTGAGACTGGGGATCCTGGACTCAGAGGGCCTTATTCTGAGCAGAGAAAGAAGGACAATGGCCTATGGTCTGACCTGATGCTGGAAGAACCACAGAATGGAGGAAAGAAAAATTCTGACAGCAAAATTAATGATGGACTGAAGCTGGAGAGAGAAGACAGGCAGACCACAGGGCTGATGAATAAGGGCTAAGCAGAGGAGTTACAGATGGGAAAGGAATCAAATATGGAAGTGATATGTTGCTGACTAAAAGATAGTGATGAGCACAGAGGCTCCTCTGTCTGTTCAGCTGTCTCAGGATCTGCAGCTTCCCCCTCCCCCATTGATGCTGCCCACCAGTCTTCCTGAAAGAGCCTTTAGTCAAGTGATTGTCATACTAAAGGAATCCCAGGGCAAAGACACACAGATTGAAAAGAAGGTAATGAAACTGTTTATCACAAAGGACATAATTTTCCATGTAGAATGAACAACAACRCTCAGTGRTAGAGCACCCCCCRATTCAATCCCCAGTACTGGGGAAACAACAACACTGAGATGCTATGAAGAAAATGAGGTGACAAGCCACAGATTGCAAGAAAAGATTCACAAAACATAGATCTGAATCCAGTATAAAGAACTCTTAAAAACTTAGTAAGGAAACAAGCCATTTTTTTAAAATGGGCAAAAGATTGAAGCAAACACTTTACCAAAGACATACCCATGGCCCAAAAAACATGCAAATATGCTCAACATCATTACTCATTAGGAAAACACAACCTGGAGCCTTAATGAGATGCCACTACTCATTTATTAGGCTACAATGAAAAGATAAAACAAAATAACAAATGACAGTGTCAAATGTCGGTGAGGATGTGGAGCAACTGGAATTCTCATGTATTGCTGGTAGAAATTAGGAATGGTTTTGGAAGACAAATTTGGAAATTTCCTATAAAGTTCCACACTTTATAGGAAAAGTGACTCAGCAATGCCACCCTTAAGAATTTACCCAACAGAAAAGAAAACTTAATGTTCACATGCCTGTACAGCAATGTTTGTAGCAGTTTTATTTATAACTGTGAAAAACTAGCTAGGCACAGTGGCCCATGCCTGAATGCTAGCAGGTCAGGAGGCCGAGGATGGAGAATTGCAAGTTCAAAGCCAGCCTTGGCAACTTAKCGAGGCTCTAAGCAACTTAATGAGACCCTGACTCAAAAAGAAAAAAAAAAATTAAAGAAAAACTGAAGGGAGCATGGGGAGCTGGGGATGTATCTCAGTGGTTAATCCCTGGTACAAACAAAACAAAAACCCTGAGAAAAACTAGATACAATGAACAATCCTTCAATTGGTGAATGTATAAATAATCTGTAGGGCAATACTACACAGCAGTAAAAGAAAATAAACTACTGATAGGAACCACACAAGGATGAATCTCAAATGTATTGTACTAAATAAATGAAGCCAGATTAAAAAGGCAAAGACTCCATTTATACTTGATTCTGGAAAAAGAAAAACCAGAAGGACATAGGGAGAGAAATTGACAACAGAAGATGATGAAAGGATTTTCTGAGGTAATGAGACTGGTTTAACCTTGATCATGGTGGAGAGTGCAGGAAGGTATCCATTGGTCAGAATCCTTAACCACAGATTAAAAAATGGTGAATATCACTGTGTGTAAATTATTCTTCAATAAACGAATTGAAAAAAAAAAAGTCCTACCATGGCTCCCAGGTTTTTACTTCATCCCAACTAAATTCCATGCTTGACTTTCTGGGCCTTTTAAATCTTGACCCCTCCATGGGGTTACCTTCATTGCCCATGCCACCTCGTGCTTGAATTAGAGCCATATCCTCATCATTCCCTTACCATTCTACTTTCTGGGTTTCTATGCCTTTTTGCACAGGTGTGCCTCTCACAGGCAATGCCCTCCTGTCCTCTGCCTCTCCACAATCACACCAGGACGTGTAGGAGTGGCATGTCCTACTCCACAATGCAGACCTCACCAAACTCTCAGTTTCTTCCAGTCTGCTATACCACCCAGAACTGACCCTCTCAGAATGTGCCTGGGTGTCTGCGGGTGTTATTCTGATCTCAGGTTGCTTATCAACACAAGTGCACTTCTATATCCATCTCTCAAATAACACGCAGCCCAGCACACAGTAGGCTCTGGAAGCAAAGCATCTAGAGGGAGAATGACCAGCGAGCTCCAGGGGGAGGAGAGATTTGAGCTGCATCTTAAGGAAGGACTAATGAGGCACCCAACATCAAGGCCAAGGGCAGTGGAGAAAGCACAGGTGGCAGAGGTGCAAGATGCCTCTGCACAACCGGGTAACCCAGCACAAGCACTGGGCCCCACTTACCTGGCCTTCATAGGAGCGCGTGGCGGTGCTCATTGCTACAGCCTGGATCAGGAGTCCCAAGGTGAGTGGCAACAGGGCACCTGTGGCCGGGACAGCCACTATGAAGCTGTAAGCAGGCTAAGAAGCCAAGCTGCTGGACAGTTCCTCACTGGCCCTGTGTCCTGACCCAACTCCGCCCTCCCTGYGCCTGCCCCATGTGGCCCCGCCCACTTACTCTTCCTCCCTGAACTGGACTGTTGATCCAGTACACCCAAGGGAAACCTCACTCCACCACGCTATCCTCCTGTCTGTCCCTTTTCTMCCTTAATTACCCCTCTCTGTGGCCCTGCTAGATTCTCAACTAGACAGTGCATCCAACTCAGCCTATCTCCCTGACACCACTCACCTTCAACATGTCCTTGACAAGTCCTTCCAAAGGGCTTTTCCCTCTAGCCCCGCCCACATCAGTCCGGCCCTCAGTTACCTCACCTCTTGGCCCTCCACCCCTCTCTCCCCACAACCCCTRCTGTTCCCACTGTAGGAACAATGGGAAGAGTCTCCTTGAGACTGTATGGATATGCCATGGCTTTGTCCAAGGAGAATGGCATCTCGCTGGTGCTCACAAGGAAGATGGTGCACATCACCAGCAGGGCACCCAGGTACAGGCATGGGGACATGAGCAGCAGCAGGAAGASCCCGGATGTTACGATGCCCCACGCAGTTGTTCACCCACCTACAGTGGTGGTCAAACTCCTAGCAGAGAGGACCAGCCTGGAGAGTCCATCTGGCCTACATACCCCCGGAATGCTTAGGCCTTTCACAACACTGCCCTCTAGGCCACCTGCTCTTGGCCCTACAAGCGGGTTCCATCTCAGGGAGAACCTGGCACTTTCCATTGTTAGAGCACAGTTAGGACTCTACAGCTTATCAGGTAATGTATCACGATTGAGGTCTTTAGAGACAAGACCTGCCTGGTGTCACTTGGAGGAGGATATAGAATAACTCTGGCTCTCTATTTTCTCAGATACTGGATAAAGATGAAAAGAAYTCCCTGGCCCAGCCAGCCTTTTGCACTTGGAAACCTGTGCAGTGTGTGTACATGAGAGAAGAGCACTCAGAACCCAGGAAACACTCCAACTTGGACACCCAGATGAAGACAGGCAAAGATCCCCAGAACAGGGCAGCAGCTGGACTAAGAGTTTGGGTACCTAGTATCAGCAAGCCAGGAGTGGGACAGGCACTGCCTTTCCTCCCCCTGATTCTGCCCTTTGCATGTCAGCACCTGTGCAAACAGGGCCAGCCTCTCAGGACTGGTACAGACACAGAGGCAATAACAGATGTAAGTGACCAAGAGGGGATGGGAGCCACTTTTGACAGTCTGGGAAGATGGTCTCATACCCACCCCTGACCAGATGCCCTGTGATGGGTTGGTGAGTGGACAGGRAGGAGGAGTACTCACCTCCTCACAGATGTTACAACATCCACAGTGGAAGGTCCTGGGTAGGCAGTGGAAGGAGCAATGGGGACACCAGAGCATTTGAAAGGCCCTTTGATACATCCAGGCCACATATGCTGCCTCAGGGAGCCTGGCATGGGAAGAGGTTTGGGCAGTGGTAGGAGGCCCTTCCATCATGGGGCTGCCCTGATCAGCATCACTGGGCAACAAGAAGGATGGGGAGGAGGTGGGCAGGAGAATCCTAGTCCTTGTAGAGCAAGCTGACCACTCCAAAGGGCTGGCAGTCAAAGAAAAGGGGGTTTCCAGCCATAAGAGCTCTCTATAGAGCTCCCTCCTTTGGAATAGTGATTAGTACTTGAAGTCATGTGTGAAATGGGCAGGAGGAAAAATAAACTGTGTGGTTTGGTGTGGGAAGCCGTTCTCGCACATGATTTGAGCTACCTCCCTGGCTGGGTGTGAGGCGCTTAGACACACTGTGTCAGAGCCTTCCCCATCCTGCCCCAGGTGTGAGGGCTTGTCCRTGTGGGGGTGTGCCTGACCACTGACCTGAGAACCAGTCACTGACCCTGACCTTGGAATGCTGCCCCCTTCGACCTTCATTGGATGGAATTTTCCCCTGAATATTTTGTTCCCCAATAAAAGCTAACTCCCTGGCGTGTTTCTCTCTCTCTCTTGCTGGCCTCTTGTGTAAACTTCCATACCACATCAGGTGGCTAGAGGCAGGAGCTGGGAGGAGCTGTCTCTGAGCTGGACAAAAAAAGGTAAATTGAGAGTCATGTCTCTTTAATTTGAACTCACTAGTTAATTTCTATGTTTCGAGCCTCTAGTATGAAGCTAGCGTGCTGGTCGCGTGGCTGAGTTTGGAAGAGACTGCTAGCCTCTCTTGCCAGCTTGCCTGGTCCTTCCTTCTGAAGTAACTGGAAACCCTCCGGGATTCTGTTTCTTCTTGCCTCAGTGGCTGGAAAATGAAGTGCCAGGGCCTAAGTAATGATGACATGGAAAGAAGGAATTCTGAGCCATAGGTGGGGTTAGCACTTTA